CATATATATGAGTACATACACATGTATATGCATATACATACATATATGTGTACATATATACATATATATATATATATATATGTACATATATATATGCATATATACGGGGAGCGCTATAATGTTATTCAGTATGAAAATGTGTATGTTTCAAAAAACGCGATATTTGGGAAAGTCTTTGTCTGGGTGAAATGATTTTGGTGCCTGGCACAGTGAAAGCGCATTGATGGGGATGCTGCAGTGCACATACCTGTGCATAATGTCTTTTTTGTGCAGTATGCAAATGAAGACATTATCGAATGTTTCTTCCAAATTCTCTCATTTGGACAAGCGAAAAAAGTCATTTTATGCGTTGTGTCTGCTAGTAAAGAATGTGATGTTGGTATGCATAGTTGCTGGAGAAAAATTCTGAAAAACACATGAACTATTTGCACTGATAAAAAGGAACGAGTATTATGTTTTGATTCTTCCATGATTTTATCGTCCGTGAATTGCTCGTTGTTCTTATATTTCATTTCTTTGATTTTTCATTATTTCATCATCCTTATTCATTCTTAATTTTCGTGTTTTGGATCGTTGGACCAAACCAAACATAAATAAGCTCAAGGTATACTTGAGCATGCAGCAGTTTAGGTTCAGTTTAACTGTTTTCATTTCTTTTCTTAGTGCCACTGGCTCTTATTTGCTTAAATATACTTTGATACAATTTATCTAAATTATATTTTTATTAAATACCTGTCAAGAATAGCTCAAGATACCCTTTAGCAGATAGGATGAGAAAACTTCACTCCTCTTCCCTCTTCTTTTGTTGTCAAAGTAATTATCTGATGGCAGCGGCGATGCTGCCAAGTTGGCAATGCTGCGCAGTGAACAAAATGAACTTGTTTGCTGAATTACGATTTGTTGTTTGCGACTAAATGTTGTTTGCTGCAATCGGACTAGTAAATGGAGAAGTATAATAAAGAGTAGGATGAGGCAGGTTTCTTAGAACAAAGTAAAGCATCTAGCACATAAGTTAGGACGCCAACTGGGATGAAAATGGTTGAAATAACAGAAAGCGATTGGGAGTAAAAAGCGGGCAAAAGTGAATTGGTTCAGGTTCCCTAGACATTGATTTATGTTGTAGAATCGTGGTGAGTCGAGTGAAACCACTTTCTGCTCGACTGCTGTTCATTAAGCCGACCGTAGATGACGGCGGTATCTACAAATGTGTGGTCAAAGCTGGCAATGGACACGTCAAGGACAAATCGACGAGGATATCATTCATTCGTGAGTTGCATGCAAACTGAGACACCTTTCTAAATCGACATATATGTATGCATGTACATATATAAGTCGATTATATATATATATATATATATATGCAATAACACGTGCTTATTGTTTTGGTATCGGATTCTTCACCACTTCATTAAAAATATAAAATACTGTAAAGTTGAAGAAATTTTAGAATGGAAATATTTTAGAAGCAGCTGAATTTGTCAACGTTGAGACTGAACAGCATCCTGAAGAAGGCAAAGATGCGGAAATTGTGTGTCGTGTACGTGGTGATCCTTCTTTAGAAATATTCTGGCAGTTCGAAGGCAGGAATATCCTGGAAGGTTTGTCTGCATATGTGGTACATTCACGGTTTAAGAAAGGATGGCTTAAGGGGTGGATGAGAGTGAGGAAGGGGAGAAAAACACACACTTCTACGTTTGTGTGAGAAGAAAAAATACTGAATATTGAATGAAGTTAGCAAAAAACTTAGCAAAAGGGAAAAATGTTCAACTGCAGAAGCAAAAAATTCACCAGAAGAACGATAATTAGGTAAATTGCATGAGTGGTTGTTTCTTTACACCTACGCTGTGCTCTCAATACCGTAACTCGTTGTAAATTTTTCATAAAAAAGTAAACAATATCCGTTTAGCGGTCGTTTTTTGAAAATGACCCAGCCGTTCAATTAGTAATTTCCCACCA